GAGAGAGAGAGAGGCTCTCCCCTCTGCCTGATCATACCCACCTCATCTACTGACCTCTCCCATTCCATACAATGTTGTTTGGACCGGATGGTGACTGAATCGGTGGGGCCACCAGTCCGAACCAGCTCACAGGTTGACGGTGAATTAATTTAAAAATTGAAAATTTCTGAAAAAATAAGGAAAAACTCCAAAAATGGGAAATTATGGAAAAATAGAACAAATGTGAAAATAGAAAAAATAAAAATTCTGTTACAAGAAAAAATAACCCATCAGACAACAATAATTCAATACTCAAAACACGATTTCAGGCACGAAGCGTGAAAACAACTAAACGTGAAGCTCAAAATAATAAATATGAACTTATAGAGGCATAAAAGAATTTTTTTTTATTCCTAGAGCCCTCCACAATTTGCATCCCATAATCCTAGAGCCCTTAAAAATTTGTTACAATTTCAATATTAAAAAACCTAAATGAAATGCTGTACTCAATTCACAAATCAAACTTGAGCAGTAATCAGTAGTCATCATCTGGAAGGTATGGCTATGTTTAACTCAATGTATTAAATTCAAAAATTTCTTTTTATTTTCAAACGTGATCACTAATCAGTAGTCATCATCTGAAAGGTATAGCTATGTGGAACTCAATGTATTAAATTAAAAAATTTCGTTTTACTTTTCCAAATACCTGAATTCCATTTACATGTGCCACAATATGTTGTTGGAAAATTAAAACAATTCCCTAAATATAACATGGGATCTTTATTTTACTGGCAAGAGAAATAGAAACCATTCAGGAACTTTAAACTAGCTTTTATAACAATTTTTAACACAATATAAGTTCTTGAAAAATTACAGAAAAATAGAAAATAAAACTGAAAATAAATAAAAACTGATGGGAACTTTCTGGAAGATGCCTGTAGCTCCCAACCAGGACTTGGTATACCCTATACTCGATTCCCTGATCAATGACACACTTTTCCTCCTTAAGGTGTTGCTGGAAATTTGTAGATAGGAAGCTTTGTAGGCTATCCTTCTTTCTTTAGGGTTTAAGAGAGCTTAAAAATAAACCAGGGTTATACAAACCCTATGGGAACTAAAAATAAGGCAGATCTTAGGAGTTGAAATCTTTCTAAGTGGGCTTTTCTTTGCTTCCTTCAAAAAATACAGCAAACTCTGTCTTAGGGTTTCGCCTAAAAAGGTCACCTCTATTTTTCCTTCAAGACAAATATAGAGGAGAGAGAGAAAGGTGGAGTGCCTATCCTTTTTGGTTAAAAGAGAGATGTGAGAGAGAGAAGAGACCCGAAACTTGTTCATGAGAGAGAGAGTCTGTGTGTGTGGGAGAAAAAAATCTATTAGAAGAGGGAAGATTTTGTATGTTTTCAAATAGGTTCAAACTTTTTTAAATAGACGAGAATCTATCTCCTAGTTTGAATAGTATTTTCTTTATCTAATTTCCAGTTACACCTTTTTAGGATAAATAGGAAATCTGTCAGGGAGAGATTAATCAGAGCTATCCATCTCAAAAACCAGCCATCATGATTTTGGGTGGATAGATTAGGAACATTATCCTCTTATGCATTGACCCAATCCATTCCTATTTAAAATAAAACCAATCAAATTTAAACTTTAATCTCTTAAATTTGAAATCAAATTTAAATATATTCTAGATAAAGCTATTCTAGATTTCCCATCATATTTGGGAAAGCATATCTCATTAAATTTTCTCAGATTTATCAAGTTTAAATTTGATTTTAAAATTGGAAATACCCTTTTTATGAAAATTTACAGCAGAAAATAATATTTAAAATTTTAAAAATCAAAGAAACATTTATAATATGAAAATAAAATATACTAGGAGTGGACTTGTACCAATGGGTCAAAATAAACGATATTAAGGGTGCTCCACTCGCCCTAGAAACCATGATCCATAACTGTTCTCTTATCCAACCCAACAAAATCCCATGACCCAGTCTTTTTGCAGGCGTTCATGATTGGCTTGTCAAATTTGATAATAAAACAATGAGATTATGATCCTGGAATGTGCATTACAGTCCCCCCCCCCTTTAAGAGCAAGTCTAGTACTTGTCACCTCATTGCAAAGAGGGCTTTCTCAATGCACATGTACACCTGTCCTTCTAAAAGGGTTGCTTACTATGCGGCTGTCATGTGTACATGCTATGCGTAAGTATGTTGAGGCTTTGACCCTTGCTCTCATGGGCCTACAACTGCACACAGGAGACCACATGGTTCTCTTGGCCTACAAAAATGATCATGTCACTCCCACTGACCTTGACATATATACAATAGTGCTCCTGGTTAGGCACAAAACCACCAGATGACAAGTACTCCTGAAACTTAATGTACTGCCTTGAGGCTTGTTTAGAGCTATAAAGGGACTTATTAAGTTTACACACTAAGGTTTTTTCTCCCTTTTCTGTGAAACCCTTTCATTGTTTCATATAAATTTCTTCTTCTAACTCCCAATTCAGAAATGCAGTCTTAACTGTTGGGTTTGGTGATAGCTAAATCAGCATACCCATATTTTCTTCTAAAGATTAGGGTATTATGGGAAATAAAAAATTGACTTTATTGGGAAGCAAGAAAGTAATATCTTTATAAGAGAGTGAAGAGGATATAATATCTATCCTTTGAGGGTCACCCCTTTGGGGGGTTATAGGAATAGATCTCCAATATGGAGATGGGTCTCCAAGAGTGAGAGACATGGCCTCTGAGAGAGGGGCGGTATTCCTATGAGTTTTCGGTTGGTTAACTTTCACTTTTAGATAGAGAAAAAATTTCCATGTTGCTTTCGAGGTTATCTTTTCAGTAGTGGTATTGCGGTGGGAAAGATGAGGTTGATCGACGGTGTTGCTCGATCGGGAGAGCGGGTTTAGAAGGGAAGATCGGTGATGACCTTTTACCAATGATTAGAGATAGGTATTATCTCTTGTAACCCAAAACTGTAATCTTCATTGTGATAATGGATTTCTACTTGCCGAGGCCGTGGATGTAGCCTTAAGGGGTGAACCACGTAAATCATATGTTGTTGTGGTGTGTTTTTTATGTTTTCTTTATTTCTTGCATTCAATTTATAGTTGTATTCATCTACTTCGCATTTAGTCAACCATGCACATGATCTTGGGTGGGATCCCGGTGTTTGGGATTCTTGATTCCGCAAGCTAAGGGGTTCCTGAGAATCCTACATTAACATCCATTTGGTGGAGTTTAAAGTCAAAATGGGCTGCTTTGGCTACTAGGATTCTTTTGGAAGAGAATTTTGCTACAGGGGAGAAGGTCTCTTCATAATCTATTCCTTCTATCTGGGTAAAGCCTTTAACAACTAATCTGGCTTTATATTTTTCCAACTTCCCTTCTGAGTTTAATTTTTTCTTATAAATCCACTTGCAGCCTGTAGGTTTTCTATCAGGAGGTAGTTTCACTAATTCCCACACATTGTTTTGTTTGATAGAGTTAAGTTCATCAATCATGGCTTCATCCCATTGGGTCTTTTCATGACAGGTTATGACTTCTTGGTAAGAACAGGGTTCATGTAAGGATTCTTCTTCAATACTCTCATAGTAATCTCTTAGGTAGGTGAAGAACTCTGGTTTGCTCTTAATTCGGTTACGTCTCCTAGGATGAGGTGGTTCGAGATCCATGGCCTGACTTATGTCATTTTCTATCTCATGAAACTTGGCTTGTTTCTGAGTGGCACGACCCTCAAGAAATACTTCCTCAAAGAAATGAGCGTCCCTACTCTCAAGTTAGGCTGTTCGATGCAAGTTAGGCTGAGAAACTATAAGGAGAGAATTAGAGGAAGTCTCTTTCTCTCTCTCTCTCTCTCTCTTTCTCCGTCTCTCTCTATATATTGTAGAAATGCATGTATGTTTCTCTCTCTCTCTCTCTATCTCTCTCTCTCTCTCTATACACACACACACACATACAATGAGACTATTTACCTTTGGTACAAGGTGGTCACAATTGATCTTGACCATTAGATGTGGAATGGTTGCATTTATTCCAATGACTAATATCAAACATTAAAAGAAATTTTCTCGAACTTTGTGGCACATCCAAGCAATCAGATTTCACATTGGATAGTCGCAAATAATTGTGATCTTATATCAAAGATAAATGGTCTCGTTACATACAATCCCATATCTATCTATATATATATATATATATATATATGGGTTATGTTAGGTTAGTCATACATTCAAGTATGTCTTTAATGTACTCAATATTATTGAATACTCATTACCCTTGTTTTGTAATATAAAGGCTTTTAAGTAAAGGTATTTTTTACCATTATAAGGGGAGGATAGATATTTATATAAGAAACTAGTGGTATTTTACTAGCAGCTAAGAAGCAAAAAATGCTTCAGGTAGGTGATGCTATACTTCATGTCGATGATGTGGTCTTCTACTATAATTAATAAATGCTTCTCTTTCTATCAAGAATTTCTATTTTTACCATTGATTAATTATTTAAAGTACGCCTAGATAAAAAGTTATTACATGGTGGGATAAGGGTATCAAGTATCAAAAAATGTTGAGTATTTTAAGAAAATACTCATATATCCAAACAAGTTGAGTACCTTGAGGAAATACTCATAGATATGAATACCTTAACATAACCCTATATATAATTTGAGAGTGGGATGTGGTCTAGGCCTCTTCCTTTCTGTCTTTATAGGTTGTTTGCTGCTGATTAGGCATAGAGAAGGGGGTTTGGGATAGAGAACTAAGGGAGGAATTCCTTCTCTCTCTCACTGTGAGTGAATAGGCATGTTGGGTCTTAGCCTTATGTGGTATTTGATGCATATTAGGCAGGGATATTGAGGCTTTTGGGAGAAGCTTAGAAGTATTCCTCTCTCCAGTACACTTCGATTTAATTGGACATGTTAAGCCTTTGGCCATTTTCTCTCCCTCTCTGTTCTGATGTGTTATTCAGTGCAAGTTAAGTAGAGGAAATGGAGCTTTAAGGAGTGTAATAGAGAATGTATCTGGTAATAGAGAATGTATCGGTCTATTGAGTTACTAGGGTATCTTGAATCTAGTCTCCATTTTAGGTCCTCTCTACCCCTTTTTCTTTAGGGTGCGGTTTGTATAGAGCCTAGGCTCTAAACAATCAAATTAGAGCCTACATTCAAATAGTGTCGAGAAATGTGGTTTTAATATTAGAAATCTTTGTGATGGCCTTAACATATGTTTTTATATTTATTTATAAAGTTTAAAGCCTCAAAAATAGTGTAGATCGATATATCTATGAGAACTTGAAAATTGACGGTTTAAAAATGCGTTACAAAATGCACTATTTCCAAAACTTGCAATCCACTTTTTTCTCATGGACATGCATCTTGATGTCGAGATGATCAATTTGAAAATATTTGGGCATCAAAAACGTCTAGTGAAATTTTTAAGGTAAGCTCAAATTTGGTTGTTTAGAGCCTCGGCTCTGTATAAACTTTTCCCTTTTCTTTATGTGCTGCAGAAATGTTGGGGCTCTAAATAGAGTGCTAGTTTTCCTCTCGCTCTTTGTTCTAGATGTTTGCTTTAAAATTTAAATCACGTAGAGGAAATGGGGGCTTTGGGAGAAAATTAGAGGTAATGATTAGGAAGTGGAGTCCTCTAGAGATTGCAGACACTCTACATTCGTTTTTTATAAAATTTTTAAATCTTTATCTTGCCTGTCCTGGAGGAGCACCTTGTTGAGATGTAGGAAAGAGGAAAGAGCTCAAAAACACGAGGAATTGGGTTTTTTTGACCCCAAATAACTGAAACCAAATCAGAGTATAGGGTAGTAGTGTGACTAAGACTGAATCCATAGAGAGAATAAAAATGGTGTTGATAAAATGAGAAATTTGGGGAGAATATGAGATGGGAAGTGAGAGAAGAGGACTTGGGACTTTGAGAAGAACATAAAATTTTCAGAAGGACAAGATTGCAGAGAAAAAAAATATGTGAAGGGCAAAGAAGTTGTATGAAGGGTGGTTTTTGAAGACTAATTCGAATTTAGAAGATCTCTTGAAATGGAAAAAAACATGGGGTTTTATTTGAAATATTGAATTTTAAGGGGTTGGAAGACAATAATTTCTGTCAATTTATTGGGGTCCCAATTGCTGTAGGCTATAATATCCGGATTTGTGCTCTTTTCTAATCCTAAACTTGAAGGACTACTCAAAACTTTATTTTTCTGCTGGAAAGATCTAAAAAGAAGAAAGAAAAACCTTATGGCCTCTCTATTCTGTACTAAGAAGCTTATACTTGTATGCCAGCCATGATGAATGATAGGGTTCGTCCCCTGGTCACTCAAAAGCCCCTAACACTGTTTTTTTACTATCTTAAAATATAATGTAATTATTTTTTATCTTTTGGAGTTATCAGTAGGTTGGAAGAGTGGATTATATACCTTAGTCCACTGAACTCTTGAAGGCCTCCTTGGCAAGTCTTTCTATATGATAATAGCGACCAAGTCAATTTGAACTCGATGCATCAAGTTAGCTTAAACCTGAAGGGACTTACTTTAGCCTCAAATGTCAGGGGACTTAGTTTCCTTGTGAACCTTTATTTTATCAGCAGATATGCTCATTCCTTGCAATGGGCTCTGGAAAATTTAGACGTCCTGTGCAGAATCAAGTTTTCGTCCTTCTCATCTCTTAAGTGAGAAGAGAGAGAGAGAGAGAGAGAGAGAGAGAGAGAGAGAGAGATTCCTACGTAGGGGTAAAGGGGGGGGGAGAGAGAGAGACGCCT